AACGAAACGGGCTAAGGGGGGAAACGTGCCAGGTTCCGAAACAATGGGCCAGGTGTGAAAGCACCCTAAGTGTGTCAAATATTTAAGAAGTGTGGCAACACTTTACCTCTTCTTCTGCTTGTCTCTCTCTCAGAGCATGTGGTGCACGTATTGCCAGCAGAACAGATGAGCTCCGTGAAGAGGATGTGGGTACAGGAGCCGGTCTATTTGAAGTGAAAAAGATTGGCGATGAGTATTTCACCTTTGTGACAGAGTGTAAAGACCCCAAAGCCTGCACCATTCTCCTCAGAGGAGCCAGCAAGGAGATCTTAGCGGTGAGAAAAAACGGAAAGAGAAAAAACAAAGAAATGAGGAGACTGGAGCCACTGTTAAAAATTCATGACTATGCAATGCTCAGAGGAAGATTAATGAGGATGTTTTTTAATCGTTATAGAGAGTCTCACAAAGGTCTCTATAGTGAGAGCAGCCCTCAGGAAGAGGTGCTTAGATAATTCAACAGGCCATTTGTTGAATATTTGATCAGCTCAGCTAGAGTATCGGGATTTTGTGCAGGTTAATTGACTTGTCGCTGTTTGACTGATGATCTGTCTCAGGAAGTTGAGCGAAACCTGCAGGATGCCATGCAGGTCTGTCGTAACGTCCTGTTGGACCCGCATCTGTTGCCAGGCGGTGGAGCAGTGGAGATGGAGGTGTCCCATCGGCTGACGGAGCGCTCGAGAGCGCTGACCGGTGTAGAGCAGTGGCCATACCGCGCTGTGGCTCAGGCCCTGGAGGTCATCCCACGTACACTCATCCAGAACTGTGGAGCCTCAGCAATACGAGTGCTCACTTCCCTTAGGGTAAGTGGAATCGAAAGCACCATTTTTTGTATTTTTATTTCAGTATGTTGATGCTACTCTTAAGTAAGTCGCATTTCAGTTGGCGTTAAAGCGTTTCTCATCTCTTTTCCAGGCCAAGCACACTCAGGAGGGCAACTCTTCATGGGGTATCAATGGAGAGACAGGAACTCTTGCTGATATGGAGCAGCTGGGGATCTTGGAACCGCTGGCAGTTAAAGCCCAGACATACAAAACTGCAGTTGAGGTAAAAATGGCACATACACTGAGAAAAACTGCTTTAGACTCCAGGAGGAAGGTAGAGGTGATTTTTCTTATGACTGTTAATGGATTTTCTCGTTTTCCTCTTAGACGGCCATCCTGTTACTGCGCATTGATGACATAGTTTCTGGTCACAAAAAGAAGGGAGAAGACCAGGCGGGTGGTGCACCTATGGAGGACAAGGAGTAAAGGAAGAGGAAACACAGAGGATGAAGGCAGAAGAGTTCAGAAAGGACAGTAATGCAGCAAATGAAGAGCAATTATGCACAAGCATTTATTTGTGCAAAACGTCATTCTCCAACACAATGTTTTCATTAGAAAGCCATTTGCACTGTTGCTTTGTGTTGTCATTAGGCCAGAAGCTCTTCTTCCCTCAATTGTTTTTCTTCCCCTCTGGAAATGAAACCACTCTGGATTGGATTAGGATGTTTGTGCTAGTATCTCTGTGCTTCACTTTGCTGGTATTGTTACTTTCTATTTCCTACCAGTGATAAATTTCAACATCAGACCATGTTGTGGAGTTTTTCTTGGGCTGAACCCCTTTTAAATTGAATATAAATTAAGGTACTTTTTTCACAACACCTTGGTAGTTTACTATGATTATGCAATTAAAAATTTTCACAGAAGCTGTAAAATTTTCAAACTTCCCCCCCAAAAGAGTCACACAGAACACTTCACATTTAAAAATTTATTTGACAGTTTAAAAAAATGTCTACATGCGTCCCATTTTCCCAAATGCAACACTTTACAATAAGGTTCAGGTAACATTACATTAATGCATTAGGTATCATGAATGAACAATGAACAGGTTCATTTTAAGTTATTAATGTTCATTCATGATATATTAATACAAATGTTAATGTATTTAGTATATGCAAAAATGAACATTAAAAGCTAACATAAAACAACAGTGACCAAAACTTTGCTGTAAATCTTAGTTAGTGCAGAGACCCTTATTGTAAAGCAGGGGTGGCAAACGTCGGTCCTGGAGAGCCGCAGAGTCTTGCTTCAACCCTAATCAAACACACCTGAACAGGCTAATCACGGTCTGAAGGGTTGTGAGAAAGCTACAGGCAGGTGAGTTTTAATTCGGGTTGGAGCTGTACTCTGCAGGGCTGCGGCTCTCAAGAACAAGAAGCATTAACAGAAAAACATGCCATTTTGACATGCAAGGATGTGCCGTCAAACAGCATTTTACAAAAAAATATTCAAATATATTTAAAAAGATGTACGAAAAAACTAAAACAGTACAGTAGAATTGTTTATTTCTAAAGCACCACCCTTAGATGTTCCTCTTGTATTTTTCGTTTCATCATCATGGACAGATAAAGTACGAGACAATACTTGAGTTTAGATCAGGGGTGCCCAACCCTGGTCCTGGAGATCTGATCTACCTTATTGCAGAGTTCAGTTCCAAGTTCCAACCCTGATCAAACACACCTGAACCAACTAATTAGGGTCTGAAGGAGCACTTGATAATTACAGACAGGTGTGTTTGATCAGGGTTGGAACTGAACTCTGCAGGAAGGTAGATCTCCAGGACCAGGGTTGGGCACCCCTGGTTTAGATATACTAACCATCAATCAAACTAAGGGAAGACCACCCATAAATTACATGATGAGCAGTTCATCTGCAAAGGTTTATTGTCATTTGACAATATTTCGGATGCTAAGACGATTCAGTATTTGCATTTCAGCACCACCAAACAAGTTCCATCTGCAGTTTTGGCTGTGCTGAATGGCACTCTGACCTAATCTGTCATCAAGCATTGAATCTGTCAGCGGTCCTTGCCTAGAGACAAAATACATTCAAATTTACCCAGATTATCAGTCATGGGTTGCAATATCCAGCATTCGATATCATGCCACAGATTTGTGATATCACCCCTGGGCTCGCTCTCCTGTCTCTGGGTCCACGCCACTGTCCAGATCTAACATAAAAACAGAACAACGCATCAAAAATAATCATTTACGAAATGTGTATCAGGCATATAAAAGGATCACTTGACATCACAGGCAGAACCAAGGTCTGCTTCTCTTACCCATGACAGTATCACTGGAGGACAGGTGGCTCTGCTGGTTAATGAGGCTTAAGTTGGAAGGTCCTCCTGGAGCATCTGATACAGCATAACCTGAACCAGTTGGTGGATCCATATCTGTGTCCATGGCTGTTCAGATGGCAGGGGAACAAAAGATTTAATAATAACAACAATACTATACACAGGCATAGCAATAATTCACGGTGTGCCATGAAATCACACTTGAAAGATCCCCTAATGTCAGATTGACGCTGACCTGCGAACTCTTCTTGCAGTTGGGAATCAGACTGAGGGGGTTTGGAGAAGGTCTCGACGCTGACGGCTCTGTTTATCCCGCAGTGTGACCCGGATGCTCCTGCCTGAGGCGGGGTTTCTAATGTTCTCCATTGGCCTCCAGTGGGCACGAGCGTGCTCCTCGAGTCTGTGCAATGTGGTTGATAAAACAAATGGTATTACATAACTCGATTTGCAACTTCCGACAGACAGCTGGCATAACCAACAGATAAAATTACTCTAAACAATTCAGTAAAACACAACTTGCACTCAAGGGTCGTTTAGGGCAATTTTAACACTTGACGAGGGGCGGGCAAACGAACACTTAGATAACGATAAATGTTTTACATACAACCATAACATTATCTCTGCGAGAACATACCGTGAATATTTAATTTCTCAGGAATCATTTTAAATTTAAGTGGGTTTTAATTACATGAATTAAATAATTTGCTAATAAATCAAGTTATGTCATCGGTCTTACCATTGCACACGTTTTTCCTCAGCTTTCGAAACGGACAGTTCTCCCTCATTCGAAACAGACAAGCGCTGTGTTTCCTTCGGCCTTGAGATGTCATTCTGCATCAGAGCCAGGCTTATACAGTATATGATACAGAAGTAATATTATTAATACTGCTGGAGGTTTGCCGTCAACTTTCCATGTACTCCAGCTATCAAATGACAGCAGGTAGTAGGAAATACTTTTTTTGCCCTCCGACAAAAAAACAAAACATTGACCTTGTTGAGCAGGCTCGAACCGAATACCATTTTATAGAATAAACTGCGTTTTTACATTTAAATTATGCACAAAAACAACTATTCACAAAATATTGTATTTGTTAAAAATGTTTATGAAAATATAATAATTTCAGCTTAATACATTCATTTGCACTAGGCTACATAGTTGTCTTATATCTCTTTGCAGCTTTGTTTAGTATTTCATTTACAAGATCTTCTAATAGATAACTTATACCTTTACCTTTTTACACGTTAAAAATGTGTCTACACTTTACACAGAGTCAACATCACATTGCCCTTAAATTACCAAAGGGTAACGAATACCATTTTATAGAATAAACTGCGTTTTTACATTTAAATTATGCACAAAAACAACCATTCACAAAATATTGTATTTGTTAAAAATGTTTATGAAAATATAATAATTTCAGCTTAATACATTCATTTGCACTAGGCTACATAGTTGTCTTATATCTCTTTGCAGCTTTGTTTAGTATTTCATTTACAAGATCTTCTAATAGATATCTTATACCTTTACCTTTTTACACATGTGTTAAAAATGTGTCTACACTTTACACAGAGTCAACATCACATTGCCCTTAAATTACCAAAGGGAGTGGTTGTGGAAGATTACAAGTTTGGGCAGGCCTCTAACTTCACACACCACACAGTATAGTCTTGAATAAGCAAACAATGCATGAGCAAAAAAACAAACCAAAAAACATACTTGTGGAATAAATATTTGGAATTTTGTTTTCTTCTTGTTGACATTCTCATCTTAAAATAGATGAGTTGAAACCAGTATATTTGGAGCTCTTTTGAGTGATGATTAATCTTGTTCTGCATCTGCTTTGTGCTCATGTTTGGCTGCAATAAAGGGTAGCTAGCTCATTTTAATTTGTAGTTTAGTGTCTCAAGTTTCACTACACAACTTCTATTTATATGTTAGTTCAAAAGAAGAAAAAAACAGATTCCCCCTTTATTCTACCCTCCTCTCTTTCCTTTGACTGGATTTCTGGCAATTTCAACCCACCTGGTCATGATATAAATGTACTCAGGAAAGCAAAGAACAGGAGAGGAAAATGAAATCACAGTTGGATTAAACGTTCTCAGACCCAAATTTCTTATAGTCTAATTTAAGATGGCTCCAAGCCTAAAGAGATCTGGTCTACATTTGGCAGTAGCAGAAATGTCAGATGTGGCATGTCTAGCCCCAGAACCGCTGTTTGGTTGGAGGAACAGGTGGTTCTGGGATGTCTGGGGCAAAGATGGAGCCTGCAGATTCAGAGAGGAAGATGAAATGGAGGTTGGCCACCAGCATAACCAGCATTGGCAGAAATGAGAACCCAAAGCCAAAAAGCCAACAACTGCTGTCACAAGCTGCTGCGACCCAGTACAGTAATCTGTGATGCACAAAGACACAAATTAAAAGTAATAAAGTAATTTTTTGCTAGTTACACATTAAATCTCTGGGATTCATAATCTAATTTAAACCAATAAATAAGGTTTATTATTTCAGAAAAAAAGAAACAAACACACAAACATTGGGGGAAAAATTAAAACAAAACATGAAAAATAAGTAAATTAATCACTAGGGTTTTACCAATATATCATGCCACAATATATCACAATACAAAAATGCTACAATACGCATCGTGGATAGCGACAATATGCATTGAGTCTAGTTCACCCAAAAAATAAAAGTTAAGACACATTTAACTCATTAAATATGGTAAACCCGGAAGCTGAAAATTGTTTTATATGTCTATATCATTTTTTTTGTTTGTTTGTTTATTATTTCCATTTTAGTTTTAGTTATTTTGGTATTTTAGGTTCAACTAAATGAAAATGTTTTTTATATATATTTTATATATAAATTTTAAATAAATATAATTCGTTTTTTATATAAATTTTATTTAGTTCATATTCTATTTTTATGTTATTTATATTCATGTAACGACAATGTTGTTTTTATGGTTTTGGTTTTAGGTAACTATAATAACCCTGCTTACAAGTAATAATTTTTTCCCCCAGTGAATTTTTTTTTTTTAATTTTCCCCAGTAAGACTTTACATGGTCTTATCGAACTGAATTGTGTGTTTCTTTATACTCTATTTTGTGGTGCTTTCTAAAGCAGAGATTTGGTCTTGCAATTTTAGGAGGGATTTTGTACCTGCCAAAGGCAAAAACGATGGTGAGAAGAGGAACTAGTTTAAGCAGATCCTGATTCAGGTAGGCAGCCATGACAGCCAGTTGGAGGAAGTAAAGCAGAAAGAGGGAGACGGAGTCCTCCACATAGCGCTGGTGAACTGCCACCTGCTTAACTTCCATCTCCCCCTCAAACCGTGGCTTCAAGGATCGATACCACAGACGGGACACACCTAATACCAACATACCTAAGAGTGGAGGAAAGAACAGAACAACAATTTCCAAACAGCTCCCTTTGATTTAATTATTGCACACTGAAAGAACACAAAGATACACTGTGTTTATCAATGTCAAGTAATCTCAGAGTCAAAACAGACCCAGGAACTTCCTGCTCACCAAGGACAATAGGTATGACTGCAAAAACAGAGCAGCGCAGTGTGTAGACCAGCCGTAGGGGGGCGCTGTCGAGCAGAGGAGCATCAAAGGGCAGGAAGACATAGCTGCCCCACACCAACAAGGGGAAGATCAGGGCAGAGGTGAACATGGATGCACCCAGTTTAAGAGCATCACGATTAGATCCACCAAAGCCACCTGAAAAACACAGAGAGACAGGCTTTTCATGCTTTTGTAAAAGTACACTACCATTCAAAGTTTGGGGTTGGTATGATCTTATGCTCAAGAAACATTTATTTTAGAAAACAGTTGTGCTTCTTAATATTTTTGTGGCAATCTGATTTGTTCATTTTTGAATATGCAACTTTCAAACCTGAGGGAGTACAAGTTTGCAAAAAGTCAATTTGGTTTGTGAAATTGTACGTAATATTGTTAAAAGTTAGGGATGGACAGATATTAAAATTATATATTATTATGTGTAATGCATTAAAAACAAAAACAAAAAAAATATTTTAAAAAGTCTGAATTATAAAAGTGAATTTAGCCATCACAATATCATAAAGAACAATATGAAAAAGGATATTAATTTTGAGGTTCATAAAATTTTACATTCAATAGTGTTTTCAAGTTTAAGTGAGCAGAATATAATGACAAATGTAATCTGAATGCAAAAATAGGGGAAAAGAAAAAAAGAGTATGCACAATAACATAACCAACATTATTTTTACATTTACATTTATGCATTTGGCAGACGCTTTTATATAAAGTGGCTTACATTCCGTTCAAGTACATATTTATCAGTTCATGCATTTCCTGGCAACTGATCCCATGATCTTGGTAGCGCCATCCTCTACTGTTTTAGCTACAGGACTGTATATCAGGCTATACCAATAAATTCTCTAATCTCTAATATCAGTTCATAATACGGTATATATTAAAAGTTACGAAACACATAATGATTTAATCTGATCTTACAGCAACGTGATTTGGGAGTGATGGGCCAGTCGTTGTAATACTCTTCTAGTGGTGTTCCATGTGTCCCTAGGAAGGGGCTCCTCTCTTCTTCGTTTTCATCTCTCCAGTGGTCTGCAGCCTCCTGCTGATTGCCCTTAAATTACCAAAGGGAGTGGTTGTGGAAGATTACAAGTTTGGGCAGGCCTCTAACTTCACACACCACACAGTATAGTCTTGAATAAGCAAACAATGCATGAGCAAAAAACAAAAAACAAAAAACAAAAACATACTTGTGGAATAAATATTTGGAATTTTGTTTTCTTCTTGTTGACATTCTCATCTTAAAATAGATGAGTTGAAACCAGTATATTTGGAGCTCTTTTGAGTGATGATTAATCTTGTTCTGCATCTGCTTTGTGCTCATGTTTGGCTGCAATAAAGGGTAGCTAGCTCATTTTAATTTGTAGTTTAGTGTCTCAAGTTTCACTACACAACTTCTATTTATATGTTAGTTCAAAAGAAAAAAAAAACAGATTCCCCCTTTATTCTACCCTCCTCTCTTTCCTTTGACTGGATTTCTGGCAATTTCAACCCACCTGGTCATGATATAAATGTACTCAGGAAAGCAAAGAACAGGAGAGGAAAATGAAATCACAGTTGGATTAAACGTTCTCAGACCCAAATTTCTTATAGTCTAATTTAAGATGGCTCCAAGCCTAAAGAGATCTGGTCTACATTTGGCAGTAGCAGAAATGTCAGATGTGGCATGTCTAGCCCCAGAACCGCTGTTTGGTTGGAGGAACAGGTGGTTCTGGGATGTCTGGGGCAAAGATGGAGCCTGCAGATTCAGAGAGGAAGATGAAATGGAGGTTGGCCACCAGCATAACCAGCATTGGCAGAAATGAGAACCCAAAGCCAACACCTCTCAAACTGCTGTCACAAGCTGCTGCGACCCAGTACAGTAATCTGTGATGCACAAAGACACAAATTAAAAGTAATTTTAAAAAGTATTGCTAGTTACACATTAAATCTCTGGGATTCATAATCTAATTTAAACCAATAAATAAGGTTTATTATTTCAGAAAAAAAGAAACAAACACACAAACATTGGGGGAAAAATTAAAACAAAACATGAAAAATAAGTAAATTAATCACTAGGGTTTTACCAATATATCATGCCACAATATATCACAATACAAAAATGCTACAATACGCATCGTGGATAGCGACAATATGCATTGAGTCTAGTTCACCCAAAAAATAAAAGTTAAGACACATTTAACTCATTAAATATGGTAAACCCGGAAGCTGAAAATTGTTTTATATGTCTATATCATTTTTTTTGTTTGTTTGTTTATTATTTCCATTTTAGTTTTAGTTATTTTGGTATTTTAGGTTCAACTAAATGAAAATGTTTTTTATATATATTTTATATATAAATTTTAAATAAATATAATTCGTTTTTTATATATATTTTATTTAGTTCATATTCTATTTTTATGTTATTTATATTCATGTAACGACAATGTTGTTTTTATGGTTTTGGTTTTAGGTAACTATAATAACCCTGCTTACAAGTAATAATTTTTTCCCCCAGTGAATTTTTTTTTTTTAATTTTCCCCAGTAAGACTTTACATGGTCTTATCGAACTGAATTGTGTGTTTCTTTATACTCTATTTTGTGGTGCTTTCTAAAGCAGAGATTTGGTCTTGCAATTTTAGGAGGGATTTTGTACCTGCCAAAGGCAAAAACGATGGTGAGAAGAGGAACTAGTTTAAGCAGATCCTGATTCAGGTAGGCAGCCATGACAGCCAGTTGGAGGAAGTAAAGCAGAAAGAGGGAGACGGAGTCCTCCACATAGCGCTGGTGAACTGCCACCTGCTTAACTTCCATCTCCCCCTCAAACCGTGGCTTCAAGGATCGATACCACAGACGGGACACACCTAATACCAACATACCTAAGAGTGGAGGAAAGAACAGAACAACAATTTCCAAACAGCTCCCTTTGATTTAATTATTGCACACTGAAAGAACACAAAGATACACTGTGTTTATCAATGTCAAGTAATCTCAGAGTCAAAACAGACCCAGGAACTTCCTGCTCACCAAGGACAATAGGTATGACTGCAAAAACAGAGCAGCGCAGTGTGTAGACCAGCCGTAGGGGGGCGCTGTCGAGCAGAGGAGCATCAAAGGGCAGGAAGACATAGCTGCCCCACACCAACAAGGGGAAGATCAGGGCAGAGGTGAACATGGATGCACCCAGTTTAAGAGCATCACGATTAGATCCACCAAAGCCACCTGAAAAACACAGAGAGACAGGCTTTTCATGCTTTTGTAAAAGTACACTACCATTCAAAGTTTGGGGTTGGTATGATCTTATGCTCAAGAAACATTTATTTTAGAAAACAGTTGTGCTTCTTAATATTTTTGTGGCAATCTGATTTGTTCATTTTTGAATATGCAACTTTCAAACCTGAGGGAGTACAAGTTTGCAAAAAGTCAATTTGGTTTGTGAAATTGTACGTAATATTGTTAAAAGTTAGGGATGGACAGATATTAAAATTATATATTATTATGTGTAATGCATTAAAAACAAAAACAAAAAAAATATTTTAAAAAGTCTGAATTATAAAAGTGAATTTAGCCATCACAATATCATAAAGAACAATATGAAAAAGGATATTAATTTTGAGGTTCATAAAATTTTACATTCAATAGTGTTTTCAAGTTTAAGTGAGCAGAATATAATGACAAATGTAATCTGAATGCAAAAATAGGGGAAAAGAAAAAAAGAGTATGCACAATAACATAACCAACATTATTTTTACATTTACATTTATGCATTTGGCAGACGCTTTTATATAAAGTGGCTTACATTCCGTTCAAGTACATATTTATCAGTTCATGCATTTCCTGGCAACTGATCCCATGATCTTGGTAGCGCCATCCTCTACTGTTTTAGCTACAGGACTGTATATCAGGCTATACCAATAAATTCTCTAATCTCTAATATCAGTTCATAATACGGTATATATTAAAAGTTACGAAACACATAATGATTTAATCTGATCTTACAGCAACGTGATTTGGGAGTGATGGGCCAGTCGTTGTAATACTCTTCTAGTGGTGTTCCATGTGTCCCTAGGAAGGGGCTCCTCTCTTCTTCGTTTTCATCTCTCCAGTGGTCTGCAGCCTCCTGCTGGCTGGTGGAGCGCAGGATGGTGATGCTGGGGCTGAAGACTCGGGCTGCGTTCTGTGGCATGATGTTCACCTCCTCCCCCTCGATCTCTGAGCAGGTGCTTTTCACTCTGTTTTTCAGCTCAGTGTCAGAAACACTTTCTTTCCCTGCTTCCATCCTCCTCCATCCCTCACCTGTCTTCTTCTCTCTCAGCCCAAATTCCTCCCTCTCGCTCTCCGTCCGGCTCACTCCACCCCTGCAGATGCAATCTGATTTAACGCTTGTGCTCTCTCCACCTTTGACTGGCAGAATCTGTGGTTCGGGTTTATTCTCAGGCCATTGTAGGGTACTGGGTTCCATATTTGCAGATTTGATCATTTCCTCTTCTTCCTCTCCCTCCTCAGTGCTGTTCACATCCTTTGTTACCCTGTTCACATCTGCTACCCACTGAGGCGTTTGGGGCACCGCTGCTGGCCCAGGAGGGTCCATGGCCAGTGTCCCTAGGAATCAAAACAGAAATTCTGGCAATGAAAGATTTGGAGAAACTGGCAACAGTTTGTCTGAGTAATTTTGTAAGAGGTTTACATTTTGTGAAAGGACATCTTCTGGAACCAATATGTAATAAATTAGAAGAAGAATAAATTATGAAATGTATTCCTTATACATCAAAGCTCAGCAATAACTTGATTATCAAATAAAAAGCTAATATCACCCTAAAAATTTACTTATAATACTTAGTTAAATGGATCTATTTTAAAGGGGTCATATGATGCGATTTCAAGTTTTCCTTTCTCTTTGGAGTGTTACAAGCTGATTGTGCATAGATAAGATCCCTGAAGTTGCAAAGACTAAAGTCACAAAACCAAAGAGATATTCTTTATCAAAGTTAAGACTCTGCCATGCCCCCCTAAAACGGCTCGTTCTAACACGCCCCCACATATCTACCTCACTATGTGGAAATATTTGCATAATGCGCCCAAATGTTCACGCAAAGAAAGAAGGTGTGGTTTCAGTAACCGCAGTTAGTGTTGAAGCAGCCATGTCAGGGAGACGCTGTGTGTTTCTAGGCGAAAGCAAAAGCACTTTATTTGGCCTTCTGAAAGTAGATGCATTTAGGAATCTTTAAGATTACTTACAACAGAACAGCAATGCATTTTATGGACGACCATTTCGTGAACCTAGGAGAGGAGGTAATTCTGACTTTGCTATGACAATCTGGCGCTTCTGAATCAGCTACTGTTTTGTTATTAGTTTATGAGAGAGGCGGGGCATAGAGGACCTACAATAATGTACAGTATTTGAAAAATAATGTGTTTTTTGAACATTAAAGCATGTCAACATATTCTGTTACACCAAATAATGATCTTTAAAAAAGCACCATATGACCCCTTTAAGATAGATTTAATTAAATCATTAACATAGTCAAACTAAATTAACGATGACTTCTATAAAACAAACTTCATGGCATTTATCATGAAAAACAGATCAAATAAAAAGTACCAACTACTGTAAATGATTCTGACTGTAAAAGAAAATTGATTTCCCCAATCTATCAATACTGTGAATATTTCTATGTAGCACGAAACTACGACATTTAGCCTTAATAGTGTCATAATTCTTCGATTAGCTCGCAGACGAATAACGTTAACTGAAAGCGAACAACACAACTTGGACAGATAATCACATCAACGGAGCGAGTTCAGAAGAACCACATAGTACGACAGAACTTATTCTCAAACTTCTTGTCTACACGACACATTTCATCTTTATTGTGTTCAACGGGCCTTATTTTAGTAATGCGAAGAAGATTCCCTAACCAGGCCTGTCATTTGATATGTCAAAAAGCTCAAACTCTCTGAGCGACACAGGTTGAAGAACATCTTAATTTAACACCTCAAGTAAACAGATACAACTTTCCAGTGTAACGTTACTCACCCATATTTCAGGACAGGATGTTGTTCTTTCGGTATAGGTTTTCCTCTACTATATTGAAACTCCTGTAGTTTGAAGTTCAGGTGTGTCCAGGTTAAGTTTGTTAAAGGGACAGTCTCTTAAAGGGGAGGTTTGTTTGTCTCTGGCTGTCATTTGCGCTGTAGCACTATAGGTGTCTTTTATACACTGTTAAATTAATTAAAGCCTACGGAAGTCCCAAGAAGCCATGGATTATTATTATTTTTCGTTCTTGTTTTCTGTTGATCACAACTTAATTTGTGATCTCGACAAAATGATTTTCTTGTGATCATGACTTAATTTTCTCGTGATCTCGACATAACAAAATTTGTTTTCTCATTATCATGACTTGTCTTGTGATCTCGACATAAAATTAGTTTTCTCGTTATCACGACTTAATTCATCTCGTGATCTTTAAGTTACACAACTGCGCCAACAGGTGACAGTAGAACTGAAAATTGATGGGGTGTGTTGTACTGTATCAGTGTTGCCAAGTCTCCGGTTTCCCGCTGAATTGGGCTACTTTATCACTGTTTCTGCGGGTTGTTTTTCATGTCCGGGGGTTGAAGCGACCCCAATAAGGTGATTTAGCACCTAAAATGACAATTTTACCAGGGGAACCCCGCCAAAAAATCTGTATATCTAGGGATGGGCGATACCTCTTATTTTATTTTCGATCCGATACCGATATTTTCAAGCCCAGTATCTCGATATCTATACCGATACATCTAAACTAAACTGATCTTTTAAATTATTAAAAGAATATAATCAGTAATTATACTCACTTAATATTAGATTTTAAAGCCATGTTTTCTAAAATTTCATAGGCCTTTTTTGTTTACACTGTCAGAAATTAAATATACTATAATTGTATTTGAGCCCTTTACTGGGTCAGTATCCTCAAAGGTGCAACTATACCCCTAAAAGTGAGCATATTAGTTCCATACAAGTATGCATGCTTTAAGGGTAGATAAGTTACAAAGGTGCACCTTTGAGGATACCTCGTGAAAAATACACATGGTGTGACATAAGTACTAAAATGTATTATTATTATTATTATTACCATGGTAAATTTGTGGTTACTGCAGTTTTACTACAAATACTGTGGTAAACTGTGGTTACTGTAATAAAACCATGGTTAATTTTTGTAAAACGCTGCCAGGCTGCCAACTTTAGCACATTTCTTTCTGACAGATTTATTAACAGCAATTACAGAACATAACACAATCCATTTGAACTTTTAACAACCAGTTTAAATAAGTTTACTTGCACAAACTAGTCAATTTAAAAGTAAAGATTTTGTAATATATATATTTTTTTAAGTCTCATGCTCATCAAGGCTGCACTTATTTAAAAAACAACAACAAAAAAACAGTAAAAGCAGCAATATTGTGAAATATAACAATTAAAAAGAACTATTTTCTTTTTTTAATATATTTTAAAATGTAATTTAAAATGCATCTGTGATCAAAGCTGAATTTTCAGCATCATTACTCCAGTCTTCAGTGTCACATGATCCTTCAGAAATCATTCTAATATCATTTGCTGCTCAAGAAACATTTATTATTATTGCTGCTTCATATATGTGTGGAAACTGTGATGCATTTTTCAGAATTAATTTTATATATAGTAACAATGTTATGTAGGCTAATGTAATGTAATAATGTGGCAATGGTTTCTTAAGATCTATACTTATGCTTCTGATGCTTTTGGGAAACGCAGCCCTATTTGAACAAGCACTGTGAGCCATGCGTCAGCAGCGAACGCTGTCTGTGATTAATTTTGGCTCCTGGTTTTCTTGTTATACAAATGTTTTCTAATAAAATCAGTGCTGCTTTGCAGGGTTAGGTACTGATACAGGTTTCTTGATTTGGTTTGAGTCTGATTTGTTTTAAAAATAATTATGTTGGTTATGTTCATTTTTCATGTTCTTATGAAAGAAATTATCTGTCACATAATTCTGTAAATTATACAAGGAATATTCTTACGTCATACATTACAAAAATATTAATAAATAAAAAATAACAGGGCTAACAGGTTAAAGGATATATTACTCAACACAACCTAAAACTGATCTGTGTATACCAACTGAAGTAAACTTTAAATTTCTTGGGAAAAAAAGTAAGTGTCAATATAATTTTTTTAAAATGTATTTTGAACATATGAAATCAAGAAAATTTCAGTTTTGCATCTTCATTCTAAATTTTTGAGCTCAGTCTAAAAAATATCATTCTGAAGAACTGAAATACTTTGTACTGTCAGAATGTGTTAGAAGCACGATTTTGCTTTTTTTTTAAGTGAAGTGAAGTGAAGTGACATGTGGCCAAGTATGGTGACCCATACTCAGAATTAATGAAAGAAATGATCTGTCACATAATTCTGTAAATTATACAAGGAATATTCTAACGTCATACATTACAAAAATATTAATAAATAAAAAATAACAGGGCTAACAGGTTAAAGGATATATTACTCAACACAACCTAAAACTGATCTGTGTATACCAACTGAAGTAAACTTTAAATTTCTTGGGGAAAAAAGTAAGTGTTAATATAATTTTTAAAAAATGTATTTTGAACATATGAAATCAAGAAAATTTCAGTTTTGCATCTTCATTCTAAATTTTTGAGCTCAGTCTAAAAAATATCATTCTGAAGAACTGAAATACTTTGTACTGTCAGAATGTGTTAGAAGCACGATTTTGCTTTTTTTTGATTGTCTACAGTGGATTTTCTGACATAGTAACAGAAAAATAAGTCTAAGACTCAGTGAACAATCAAATCTTTAAAGTCTGGAGCAAGAATCAAGAAGTTGTGTGGTACTCTTTAGTAAATCAGCATTTTCTAATAGTACCGATAGCTGTGCATTTTGTGTTTCAGCTCTGGGGCAACTATATAACAAAGACAGTTGAACAGTGGACATCTGCTTGCATTTAGGGACACACTCTTCAGTCTTCATGGTACAGTGGATTTTCTGACATAGTAACAGAAAAATAAGTCTAAGACTCAGTGAACAATCAAATCTTTAAAGTCTGGAGCAAGAATCAAGAAGTTGTGTGGTACTCTTTAGTAAATCAGCATTTTCTAATAGTACCGATAGCTGTGCATTTTGTGTTTCAGCCCTGGGGCAACTATATAACAAAGACAGTTGAACAGTGGACATCTGCTTGCATTTAGGGACACACTCTTCAGTCTTCATGGGTCTTTGGGTCAGAACATCACAGTCTGTTTGTCAAGGTTTGCACAATAATATTGATCACATGACCAGCTGTACAACATTACTGATAATTAAATAAATTAAAACTGTTATGAACTGTTTCATAGTCCAAAAGATTATTAACACAAATGTGACCCTGGACCACAAAACCAGTCATAAGGGTAATTTTTTTTGAAATTGCGATTTATACATCATCTGAAAGCTGAATAAATAAGCTTTCCATTGATGTATGGTTCGGATAGTACAATATTTGGCCGAGATACAACTAATTGAAAATCTCGAATCTGAGGGTGCAAAAAAATTCAAAATACTGAGAAAAGTTGTCCAAATGAAGTTCTTAGCAATGCATATTACTAATCAAAAATTAAGTTTTAATATATTTACAGTTGGAAATTTACTAAATATCTTCATGGAACTGAACATGATCTTTACTTAATATCCTAATGATTTTTGGCATAAAAAAAAATCAATAATTTTGACCCATACAATGTATTTTTGGCTTTTGCTACAAATATACCCCAGTGACTTAAGACTGGTTTTGTGATCCAGGGTCACAAATATTTTCCAGTGAATTGATTTAATGAACTGTTAAAGCTAAAATAATAACCATCTATTTCGAGATAAGATGTAAATTTGAACACAAAATATCTAACCATGAAACTACCTTTGCTAAATACTGCAAACTGCCTAAACTGCATTGGCAAATTGATAGATTGCATGTTTGCATGAAATTATGAAATGATCTTAAGGTGTTTCTTAGGAGGTTTAAGCTAGTTTAGCTGGTCAGCTAGCTGAAACGTGCACCCAAACCCCTTCAAAACCATGAAAACAGAACCAGCTTCACCACCTTAAGCTTGTTTATACCGTTTTTTCAGAAGATAGTTTTATTAAGTGTTCTTGTAAAGCTATTGTAACACAGTTCGTAGTTCGGGAAGAAGGAGGCGGGAACCGGCGAACATTCAAACATAATTTTAATAAAATAAACACAAAACTTAAAATAGCGCCACAGCCCCTCATGGACGACTGCCGCGCACAAACAAAACCAAAACAAAATAAAGTCCAGGCCTGGTCCTCTCTCGTCCTTCACTGTCGTCACTCCTCCTTTTATCCTTCCGGAGCTCCTCCGTGGGACTCCAGACCGGTGAGTGGTGCAGGTGTAACTCCACCGGCCTCGCTCCGCTCCCACAGCTCTCGGCCCCACCCCACTCGTCACAGCTATATTGATTTCCAGTAAAAAAAAAATTCCATCTAGAGAATCAAAGATGGAAGGTAATGGAGATTTACATTTTTAGACATGATTTCTTTGACATTTGTAGAGGTTGTCCTTCAAAGGTATTATGTTCATATTGGTACATCACAGCTTTGTTGCAGTAGTTTGTTTGTTGTCATCTACAAGTGAAGGAAAATGTCACAACAATACTATACTTGTACCCAAAGCATAAGGCACATTGGTAATCTTTTGGCATGAATCCGAGAACATGAATGTAAATATAAATTATGATACTTCAAAAACAAATGATGCTGAACAATATAGAACAAGACTGATTCAGTTCTGCACCGTTACAACATTGCAATGAGAATGTAATGTCAATGAAAGCTATGACCGTAAATAGCACAACATGTAGTTTGATGAAGTAGTGCTCCCCTTCTCTACATTACATGTCTCATTACCTTTCCCTCTACAATAGGCCTGATTCATTTTGCACTTCAGCACGTTGTTCTGAGCTCAAAGAGCCCCTGTGGGATGTGGCGCTGTAAAATGGAGCTGTCACTGCTTTCCTGAGGTTGAGTGAAAGCACATCTGTATACGGTGGCATGAGAAGATGAAGACAGATGACTTTGAGATGTTTTCTTGCTGCACACTCCCTCCTGTGAAAGCTGCTGCCAGCATGTGTGCCTGCTGTTAGCATAATGCTAATGAAGGGGTTAAGGCTGTTTGCATGCTGTTCTGGAGGGTCGATCCGCTGTCTTTCTCAACAGGAGGAGATGTTTTTGGACCAAAAAGAGTCAAGAGTGAAGGGATGAGTGTCCCCTGCCATCTGATCAGGCCTGTTGTTGAATTGGATTACAATGATGTTATATGTTTGTTTTGTGGAGTTGGTAACTAGATTTCATGAAAAGTGGAACAGAATTACATCAACAATCAGTAATTGCAAAAAAATGTCTCCAGAATTCTGAACTGAAGAATTTCAATTCACACTGAATTCATGAGTGAATTTGAATTTGAAGTTGAAGTTGAATTGGAATGACAAAATTGTAGCTCAGAAACTCAACACAGCAAATGCCTTATGCAAAATGAAGTGTTCTTTCATCCTGGTCCACAAAAGTTAATTATGAAATATGATGTGATATATAAACTACAGGTAAATACCAATTTCTATAGGTGGCATTTCAAATCTATATATTCATAGTCTATAAACCTTCAAATTTCAAGATGTTTTAAAACTACTTATAACATTTTGGATTTCTAGTTAAAAATCAGTTCATTTTAATTCTGCTTTTTACATTCAAATTTGAATTCAATTCTGCATCTAGTTTGCTAGAAGGAGGTGCAATGGAATTTAAAAGTATATATATATATATATATACACACACACAGTATATATACATACATACACGCCTATAAATGTAATTCCAAATGGTGCACAACCCTGTCATGCATGTTTTTATTAAAATTGTAGTGTTATATTATGTATAAAGACACTAGGGTGAGATGTAAACATATCTTTTTTTTATTTGGAAACAAATATAAAAGCACATTAAAATGCAAAAGCCACTTGTAAACTACATGGCACATTTTCTCTTTGAATAAAATTACCAGCATCTCTCTGCATTTTAAAGGCTCAAAAATACTGGACACGCCACTCAGCTAAGACACAATGTGCATTGTGAGAACAGCACATCGGTGTTGTGGAGAAATAACACCGCCGTACCACTGACTTGAAAGCGATAGCTAAGTTGCACCTAAATGGCAATATTGACCTCCTCTGCACGCAAGACACATATTGGACCTGTTTATTTCAGCTTAATTTCTATTGAACATGTAAGTCAAGCAAATCACAGGTGAACCAGACTTTGAGAAGAAAAAAGCACTGTGCTGATAGCCCGGGCAAAACGGCAAACGTTTGATAGAACAGTCCATTTCAACATCGTCAAATACTGAAGAACAACAGAGAGGAAATTAGACTCATTCTATTAAGAACACCGTAGAGAGAGGCAGGGAAAGGACCTGGTAAATCAAACATTCAGTTTGCCCAAAGAGGCTGGTAGGTCAGTACACTGATTGACATTTAGCTGAATAACAGCAAGGCCAGTTTCTCTGGCTGCTCTGTAAACACACGGATTTATAAGGCGCAAAGCTCAAGAGTCCCAAACCAAAGAGCTCATAGGATGTAGATCATCAGAGGATCATCCTGGAACCAATGCACTGGGCTTTTATGATAAGTGTGGAATGATTAATTGCGAAATGGATTAACCTAATTCCCCCCCCCCCAATTACGGAACTGTGAATTTGTCGTTTCCTTGGACATAGAAAATAATTAACCATATTGTTCGTCCGTAATAAAGCTATTTGGCTGGTTTCGAACATAAAAGATTCATCGCTAAGACTTGTCAGCCATGCTGAACGTGACATCAGTGGTGGAAGCTATGAGCTGAAAAACCCTGTCAGAACACGTGAGACATGAAAGTGTGTTTAAGTGCAGTTTTCAAATGGAAAAACCAGACCCACAAGTACACAAAACTACCATCACGGAACAACAACACTTGAGGGATACAGCTGGCTCTGAGGTGATGGAGGAGGTGTGGTGGTGGTTGTGTGTCGGCGTTTGCGTGTGTGTGTGCGCGCGTGAGGTAATCATCGCATGTCTCCTAGCCTAAAATCTGGTTAGCAGCTCAGGCAATGCGGTAGTCGAACGTGTCTTTTTCCATATAGTCTGTCCATGTGGAACTCGGCATGCTGCTGTACGGATCCAAAAGGATTCGGAAGCAGCGCACGATCAGCAACCCCAGAAAGATGAAGAGGAGGAGGACGAAGACGAAGGCAGCCTTCTGTTCCAGTGTGAGGAAAGGGATGGGGTGTGGGGCCCCAGACGCAGACAGCGTGCTGCCGTGGAGATGCTCGGCCATCCTCTCCAGTTTGTCGGCACGGGTCAGGGGCACGTGGCCATTTTCACGATCAACAGGTTTTTGTTTAGAGCCATTCTGGAAACACACGAGATGATTAGAAAAAAATCACCAGAGAACAAGTAGATTTTAAATGCATTTTAACCCGCAATATCATCAATATCACATCACCAAACAACATTTTTGAGGATTCACTACAACAACAACAACAACTTCACTGCCAGTGTGGCGCAGGCCTCACGTTTAAAGGCACACACCACAATGTTATTAAAAGTATATATATATATATATATACACACACACAGTATATATACATACATACACGCCTATAAATGTAATTCCAAATGGTGCACAACCCTGTCATGCATGTTTTTATTAAAATTGTAGTGTTATATTATGTATAAAGACACTAGGGTGAGATGTAAACATATCTTTTTTTTATTTGGAAACAAATATAAAAGCACATTAAAATGCAAAAGCCACTTGTAAACTACATGGCACATTTTCTCTTTGAATAAAATTACCAGCATCTCTCTGCATTTTAAAGGCTCAAAAATACTGGACACGCCACTCAGCTAAGACACAATGTGCATTGTGAGAACAGCACATCGGTGTTGTGGAGAAATAACACCGCCGTACCACTGACTTGAAAGCGATAGCTAAGTTGCACCTAAATGGCAATATTGACCTCCTCTGCACGCAAGACACATATTGGACCTGTTTATTTCAGCTTAATTTCTATTGAACATGTAAGTCAAGCAAATCACAGGTGAACCAGACTTTGAGAAGAAAAAAGCACTGTGCTGATAGCCCGGGCAAAACGGCAAACGTTTGATAGAACAGTCCATTTCAACATCGTCAAATACTGAAGAACAACAGAGAGGAAATTAGACTCATTCTATTAAGAACACCGTAGAGAGAGGCAGGGAAAGGACCTGGTAAATCAAACATTCAGTTTGCCCAAAGAGGCTGGTAGGTCAGTACACTGATTGACATTTAGCTGAATAACAGCAAGGCCAGTTTCTCTGGCTGCTCTGTAAACACACGGATTTATAAGGCGCAAAGCTCAAGAGTCCCAAACCAAAGAGCTCATAGGATGTAGATCATCAGAGGATCATCCTGGAACCAATGCACTGGGCTTTTATGATAAGTGTGGAATGATTAATTGCGAAATGGATTAACCTAATTCCCCCCCCCCCAATTACGGAACTGTGAATTTGTCGTTTCCTTGGACATAGAAAATAATTAACCATATTGTTCGTCCGTAATAAAGCTATTTGGCTGGTTTCGAACATAAAAGATTCATCGCTAAGACTTGTCAGCCATGCTGAACGTGACATCAGTGGTGGAAGCTATGAGCTGAAAAACCCTGTCAGAACACGTGAGACATGAAAGTGTGTTTAAGTGCAGTTTTCAAATGGAAAAACCAGACCCACAAGTACACAAAACTACCATCACGGAACAACAACACTTGAGGGATACAGCTGGCTCTGAGGTGATGGAGGAGGTGTGGTGGTGGTTGTGTGTCGGCGTTTGCGTGTGTGTGTGCGCGCGTGAGGTAATCATCGCATGTCTCCTAGCCTAAAATCTGGTTAGCAGCTCAGGCAATGCGGTAGTCGAACGTGTCTTTTTCCATATAGTCTGTCCATGTGGAACTCGGCATGCTGCTGTACGGATCCAAAAGGATTCGGAAGCAGCGCACGATAAGCAGCCCCAGAAAGATGAAGAGTAGGAGGACGAAGACGAAGGCAGCCTTCTGTTCCAGTGTGAGGAAAGGGATGGGGTGTGGGGCCCCAGACGCAGACAGCGTGCTGCCGTGGAGATGCTCGGCCATCCTCTCCAGTTTGTCGGCACGGGTCAGGGGCACGTGGCCATTTTCACGATCAACAGGTTTTTGTTTAGAGCCATTCTGGAAACACACGAGATGATTAGAAAAAAATCACCAGAGAACAAGTAGATTTTAAATGCATTTTAACCCGCAATATCATCAATATCACATCACCAAACAACATTTTTGAGGATTCACTACAACAACAACAACAACTTCACTGCCAGTGTGGCGCAGGCCTCACGTTTAAAGGCACACACCACAATGTTATATAAGATTACTGTGTACATGTTTTACAGCATTAAATCCATCAGTGAAATGATTCATGGTGCGGAGGACAGTAAGTAGCCTTGAGTGAATTATCTCTCTCATCTTAAGGCGATCAAATCCATTTCCGACTGGTTTTTCATGCCCCCTGATACATTCTCTCAAAGTGCCGGTTTCTGTGATAGTCTCTGACCCTTTAATGGTTCGGTTCTTTGATGCCAGCGCTCACGATCAGCCTTGGCACTCCCTAAACACTGCGAAGTCGCACGCACAAGATGCCAACGTGTTGCTCGAAATCCAGTCGCATGAGTATTGGGTACCTGGGGTTTGGCTTACAGAAACGAGGAGCACGACACTAACATCTCTCCATTTGTGATTTTATTTATCAAATGTCCGTGTAAATATCCAACCGAGCCCTCCTAGATTCGGCCAAATTGCATTGTCGCCGCTCTGACAGTTGAAGCGGGGATGTCTGTGAACATACACAGGGCTGCGAATGCAGTGAAAGCATTAGTTTCTCACCTGTTGTTACGGAAGAGGATTCATCAGTGGGAGGGTGATGGAGATCCAAAATAAGCAGGGAGAGAGACAGCTTCCATCACGGCTGTCCGCCCAGAGACAGATGGTTGTCAGAACTTTTTCAACCCAGCTCGTCGATTTGTTCAGCAATCCAAATAAAATCAGCGGCTCTCTGCTTCCATTCCTCTCCTCTGTGGTCCAGCTCCCTCTTTCCCTCACCAAGATGAGCATGTAGTGGTGTCACATCACCCATAGCAACCAGTTGCCATAGCAATCCCTCCAAGTGTGTTCAGTAAAGCCGAGCTGGTGAGAGACAAGTGTGATCCAGCCAAAGCGCAGTGTAAACGTGTGTTTCTGTAAAGGCGGAGGATTTAATACAGACCCACTGATGTGTGATAACAACAGCGGCTAAAAATAGTGGCCTCTTTTAACTTTGCAGGATTAACATGTTTTAATACTCCAGTTGCCATAGCAATCCCTCCAAGTGTGTTCAGTAAAGCCGAGCTGGTGAGAGACAAGTGTGATCCAGCCAAAGCGCAGTGTAAACGTGTGTTTCTGTAAAGGCGGAGGATTTAATACAGACCCACTGATGTGTGATAACAACAGCGGCTAAAAATAGTGGCCTCTTTTAACTTTGCAGGATTAACATGTTTTAATACTGTGTCTACTACAAGCTGCTCATGAATGTCAGCCAATCAGCTTAAATGGAGAATTGTCATGCTTTCAGGCATGCTGCTGTCATCTGATACGTCTGAAACAGCAGTGTATGCATCCAGTCTCAGTATCTTCAGCGCTGCCATTGCAAACACAGTCTGTACGTGCAGTTCTAGAAATGTAGGTGTATGTGCTGGATATATTTAAACATAACTGACAGATCAGCTGACTGACTGATTTATATATTTCTGGTGTGATTGATGGCCATGGAGAAATAATGGTGAATTCTGGATAATATTCAGATATAATATGTATATAATATAATATATATATAGTTAGGAAAGGTTAAGGAATTACAGCTCTTTAATATGTTCCACTCCCCCTTTTCAAGGGACCATAAGTAATTGGACAATTGACTCAAAAGTTATTTCATGGACAGGTGTGGGATATGCCTTCGTTATTTCTACATCAATTTAGCAGGTAATAGTTCTGGAGTTTGCATTTGGAAGCTGTTGCTGTGAACCCACATCATGCAGTCAAAGGAGCTCTCCGTACAAGTGAAACAGACAATTGTTAGGCTTCAAAAACAAAAACCCATCAGAGAGATTGCAGAAACATCAGGAGTGCCTGAGAAAAAAAAGAACGCACTGGTGAGCTCAGCAACATAAAAATGCCTGGACGTTCATGGAAGACAACAGCGGTGGATGATCGGAGGATCCCCTCCATGGTAAAGAAAAACCCTTTCACAATATCCAGTCAAGTGAAGAACACTCTCCAGGAGACAGGTGTGTCAATGTGACAGTCTACAATCAAGAGAAGACTTCACAAGAGCAAATACAGAGGGTTCACCACAAAGTGCAAACAAGGCCAAATTAGACTTTGCCAAAAACATCTAAAAAAAAAAAAAGCCAGACCACTTCTGGAAAAGCATTCTTTGGACAGCTGGAATTAAGATCAACCTGTACCAGAATGATTGTTAAACATGGTGGAGCAGTGTGATGGCATGAGCATGCATGGCTTCCATACATGGCTTTGGCTCATACTTTAATATATATTTTTAAAGAATAAAATTCCTGTAATATTAATAAATACTGTACAAAAAGTGAACATCTTTTTCACAAGGGAATGATCCAGGTGGAGGCTTTACCTAAGTAAAAATACCTGAAGAAATCTGTTAGCACTCACAGATGGTGTACAGTGCATCTACCAGCAGTGGCTAACTGGGTCATGCTAACCAGGCA